TTTGCAGGATGCTTCCCTTGTGTGGAGAAGTACTGTTCCCCAGACCTTTTTCTGACCCAGCCCCACGGTGATAGAAGGGTTTGCCATTTCTGCAAAGGGGTGGGAGGCCTGGCTGGCATCAGTCACCCTACGGCCAAGTGTGGCAGCTGAGAACGTGGGTTTCCAGGCTTGGCCAAGGAGCTGTGGTCTGTGTGCAGGCGGGCATGGAGTGATCGCCGGTGCGTAACCTTTTGGATCCCTGGAATCTATTGTTTAAGCTGTTCTTTTAGCTCTGGGTTAATCTGTTTTCAGAGTAAGAAAAGTGTAGCTGCAAAGTGTGCAGAATTGGGAACATCTAAAATTCCAAAAAGAAGAAGAAACTTGACAGCAGAGTCCTTGCCACCTCTTCCTCCAGACTCCTGTGCATTGAAACCTTGTGTGTTGGGTAACAGGTTCCACCTGCCCAAGGAATGAGTTTCTGAGGCACCTTCTGCACAGTGAAACATCCACCAGAGCACTAAACTCATTTTGGACAGAAGTGAGTCCAAAATGCACATCTGGAAGGGCTTTATCCCACCCTCCTGGCCAGACTGCTTACCGTTAGTGGAAGGTTCTTGGCTTTGGTGTTTCTCAGTAACATCTCTAAACGCTGTGGGGCCAGACCTTGGTACCCAGGCACAATGGGAATGAAAGGCAGGCTGGAGAGAGGGTGACATAACCCCCACAAGACAGGCCATGTGAGCTGGGTGGGGCAGAGGGGCAGCCACCAGAGTCCAAGGTGCTTTCAGTAGCTGGCCTAGCCCAGTGTCCCCTCCTCGCCGTTATGGGCTCTGCTGGGAACCCATTAGCACCTGACAATGGGTGTGTATGTCCCCTTTTCATCCCAACCCTTGCACAGTGCAGGAGCATACTTCGGGGTTAGAGCGTGTCACGCGTACCTCAGACGGATTTGTATGTCAGCATGAAGCCGAGCCTGCCTTGGCCCTCAAGTAGCCTCTCTGTTCCCTCCTCTTCCTCTTTGCACAGACTGATGTGGCTAAGCTGAATCCCCTTCCCTGTGATTGGGAACATGGACCTTCCTCACTTCATCCTCAGGTGGGGGACTCAGAAGACACAAAAAAGGAGATATGGGTCTTCCCATTTTTGCTGAGGTGTTTGCGAGCAGAAACAGTAACTCTGTAGAGATGCACATAGTGATAATGTGTTGCTCTCCTTGAAATGGTAGGGCAGGACTGGGAAATTACTAGAAATAATTTTGTTGTCTCAGGGGAAGGTGGCTCCACTCCACTCCTTCCTCACACAGATGGAGAGGATTTGTCTTGCAGAGCAGTTCCTCTTCTATGGAAATGTTTTTTTGTCAAATCAGAAACCTCGGAGTTTTGCTGGACTTCTTGTCCAGAGACACCACTCGGGTCTGCCAGAGGATCAGAGACAAAACCAGGGGGTAAGAACCGTGCCAGTTGCTGGGGCTCTCCTGTGGGATGCAGGGGAAGTCCTTCCTTCTTCAGAAGCAGTGTTGTAGTTTGGGTCAGGATTGATCCGGAGATGGTTCCCCCTTACCCTTGTTTTGGTTTGCATCCTGGAGCAATCTTGGATTGCGCTCCCCACATTGCTGTAGGGTGGCCCGGCAGCGGGGCTGCCCCAAAGGCTTTCAGGCCATCGCTCCATCACACGAGCGACCACCAGAGAAAAGTGCACCTGGTGCCCTTCCACCTTTATGCATTCCTGTGCAAGAAATTGATTTGTCCAATCCTGGTTAAGGGCTCAGCGCCACATTCTGGATGCAAGCAAAAATATTCTTGCTCTCTGTGGGACTTAGGATCATTTTGGGTTTGCGTTTGTGCGCTACTCGGAAGCTTAGTGATGAAACCACCTCCCCAAAAGAGGACCTATCAGTTCCCATGTTTCCAGTGGTGGATCCGATGACCTTTTTCAAGAACTAAACAAAAATTACTTATGACCTTTAGGTAATAGAGGGGGTGTATATAAGGGTACTTTAGAGGGTAATAGAGCTTAGAAAAACATACAAAAGCAATGGCTGTGTACTTTTAAAAGGAATCTATGCTGTATCTGTAAGGCAACCTATTATACTCCACATGATGGAGACTGCAAGGTGCCAGTGGAGGCATTTATTGTGAAAGTGACAGTCTTCAGAACTTTTATATATTTTTTTCTGACTGTTATATGATAGGAATATAGGCATTCCTCCTAACTCTTTATGAGCATCAGAGGCAAGCACAAGAGCAGTGAGGCAAGAAAGATGAAGATCTAACAAGATTAATTTGAATGCAAGACAAAACATATTTGTTTAGAAAAAAACCAACCTACTTTGAAATAGGTTTCTCTTGGAATGCTGCTAAACATGACTTTATGAGTAATGCATGTTTGTCTGCTTGCCTGTTTAAAACATGGCCTTTTGTTGCTTGCGACCTTCATTTGGGTGGTTAATATGTACATGGCAAGCTTTCTATGGGACTTGGTGTAAAAACAGACAGGAATCTTTTGGAAAGTGGACATCTTTGGTCTTGAGTGGAAGAGCATAAAGAAATAGGCAGCTCCTGCATTATAAGCCTTGGTAAGCAATGTAATGTTCTTACTTTCTATGAAGCAAAGAAAAAGTCACAGCCAAACGCTATACATAGTTTTAACCTAGAGTCCAAGCAATAGGATGCTGGATTTGGAGAAAAGGTTGATTTCACCCTTTCATTCTTCCTAGTCAGCCTAGTGGGACTCACAGAGTCTTCTGCTCTTCCACATCACTAGTCTAGATTGTGATTTTTTTTTTTTTCATACATTTTGTTTCAAAACTGTGTGCCAGTTGGATGATTGCTGTGGTGAACTGAAACAAGTCCCACTGTGGCTGGCCTGCACAATTTGGTGAAATATTTAGTGAGGAAGGTTATTCATTCAGCAGAACTGAGCAGTCCTCCAGCTCATGCTGTTTATAATTGAAAATGATTTCTGGGTGAGTGAGTTAATTATTTCTTACTGTCTCACTACCCTCTACCTATACTAAAACTGTGCATTGACCTTCAGGAACAGCTGAATTTCAGCCCAGTGGTTCCTAGCATATTCTGGTTATTTTGGTTGGGGTGAATATTTACTGTTTCTCCTAGGAGGTTCAGACCTAAAAAAAGGTTTAGAGGACCTCTGGGTAAATATGTTCATGGTTCAGCACTTTAATGTGTCAATTAGCTACTAACAGTGTCAATAAATTGGACCTGTCAAAAATAATAGCTTCCTTTCCAGTCTTCATCCCCTGCTTTACCTGTGTGCTACAAGAAATGCATTATACGCTGCCAAAAGTAGTAAAAGCCAACTTTTCCATGCCTGTAGCAAAAATTTACAAAGCAAAGCTGCTTTCTTCAGACTTGGGTCTTGCACACACAACTCTCTCTCTTATGTTCCAACCTGTGAGTCGTTTGACCGTTATAGTTATTTCATTGACTGTTGTATTTCTTTAGCAGACAGGCTACAGAAGCAGTTGCAAGTGAAAGAAAGTCTGTGTGCTTGCCAGCAGATGTAGATAAATGCCGGTAGGTTGTGTTCGCAGACATGCAGCACGGCACCCAAGTTGGGTAGGACTGATAAAATGGGGTGCTACATGCTACATATTGCCTCTTGTGTGCGGCTTGTTGCACAAAGCTATGAATCAATGGTGTTTTTTTTTTTTTTAACGTTCAAACACAGAGCAGTCATCCTGGAGCCGATACACCTCCAGCAGTAGCTAAACCAAACCGGGTGGCAGTAAGGAGAGCAGAAGGCAGCCAAGCATCACTGGTAGCCATCTGCAGTTCAAGGACCTCTTAGCCAGTCACAGATTTCTCTTTAATGACTGTATCCAATCTCTTTTTGAATCTCTCGAAACCTTTAGCATCCACAAATCCTGTGGAAAGGAGTTCCACAACTTCATTATATGAATAAGCACACTTTTTTTTATTTTTTAATCTGCTGCCTTTTGTTTTCATTAGATGTCCTCTAGTCCCTGTTTTAATGTATTAAATTCCTATATATTAGAGACTTTTATGTGGGGTGGGTGTTTATTTGTTATTACATAAAGTTTGGTGTAATAGGCAACGAACACGTGTTTTAGCTCTCAATATTTCCACCCACTGGAGATCAAAGCAAAAAGAATAAATACCCTAATAGTGGAAGTACCTTTTCATTTTAAATGAGATGTAACAACAGGTTATGAAGAAAAACATCTTGTGATAGTTATTCAGCTGTGTAAGATTTCAGTGTTCCACCCCGTAAACAGTGATAGAAGATTATCACAGTCTTTCAATTACACGATAACTCTCAGAAGGAGGAAGAGGCCAAGCAACCCATTGTCCTGCTGAAGGGCCCTGTCCCTGGGAGGTGCAGCTCAGAGCAGCCTCAGCCAGCGCAGCAAAATTGTGCGCGGCTAAAGCCAGCCACAAGCCATTTCTCCAGGCTAAAGTATGGCAGTGACGTGTTTTATCTCGAAGGGCCGCTGCTGCCCATGAAGCTGAGCACGTGTTTGACTTCCTTGCAGAGTGAGGGCCTGCTTGGCAGATCCAAATCAAATTAGTGCATGTCCAGGCAGGCCCAGGACCCCAGCCAGGGCCAGTGCTGCCAACCTGCTGCCACTTGTATTGCATCTGCGACACACACACACAAGACTGACACGTAAGACTTGCTCTGTGTGCACAGAGTGGCTCTGCAACCTGTGACAGGCGCTGCGCAGACCACGTGGAGTTGCTCTTCAAAACCTCATGGGTACAATCTCTTGCAGATACTGTACCCAATGCCACGGGATTGTTATTTGCAGCCCTGAATTCCATAGTATGTTTCTTATGAGCTGGGCTCGGGTGACGCTGCCCCGTGAAGGGCAGACATCACCTAGAAGATGACACTCCGTGGTAAGGTGACGGCACTCCAGCCAAGGCCTGATGCGGTTTGCAATAGCGAATGCCTAATGATGCGCAGGAGGAGAGGAACTACAGCAGAACCCATTGTGGTTCCAGTTCTCACATTAGCCTTACTCTTTCTCACTGCAGGTTACATCCAAGCCTGCAGAGGACTGATGATCTCCGCCGTCTGCCTGGGCTTCTTCGGTGCCATTTTTGGACTGGTTGGGATGAAGTGTACAAAAGTTGGAGGTTCTGATCAGACTAAAGCAAAAATAGCTTGTTTAGCTGGACTGATTTTCATACTATCTGGTAAATATACCTTATTTCTCTAAGTTTGCATATTTGAAGTCACACTAGAGCTGCTTTTCTGCAGAAATCCACGCACAGTACTCCATAACTTCATTGGCTTCAGGGTCAGGCCCAAAGCTCTTCTGCTGGCTCCACTGAATGGTTTGTCTTATGCTTTTCAGGGTTGTGCTCTATGACTAGTTGTTCCCTGTATGCAAACAGGATTACGTCTGAGTTCTTTGATCCTTCTTTTGTTGCACAAAAGTAAGTACTTTCCTATACCCATAAATCTTTCAAAGTAGACGTTAAGTTTCATACAGCGCACCAGAGCCCATTTAAACAGAGAGCACATGCTTCTCTTGTTGGGCAGAGAAGGAAAGTGGGCTGCAGTTTTATTCAATCGTATTTTCCAACTGGAGTAACCATGTGCTGAAATTTAATGAGTGAACACCTTCCCGTACAGCGATTGCTCCGTAATCTTTGAGCCCAGGCTCATTGTGGCTCGGCAGGGTTCTGCCCCACTTGCTGCAGAGCAAATGGGGTTAATCAGAAGTGAAGCTTGCGTTTATGTCAGAGATGCAGTGAAAGGATTGCACAAGACAGAGGTGCTCATTAGGTGCATCATTCAATGGGCAAGGAAAAAAATTATTTCCTTAAGCTTCTGATAGAAGGTGGTTTCCATAAAGGTGTGAAGCACTGTGCAATCTTGACTGCTGTCGAAGAGAGGATTTTGCAGGCTCTGTGGACTTTTTGCTTATAGATTTACAAAACCAGATGACTGAAATTTGAATCATAAACCTTATCGTAACCCACGATCTTACAAGTACTAACATAAATGCTTTAACTATACTTTTAATATCATTCAAGGAAGCGAGTGTTTATAGAATTGCAGGATCCATAGCAGAAATAATGAGCATCCCCAAAGACTCCCTTTAAAGCTGTGCAAGTTCTCGGGACCTACAAAGGCAGAGTTCACTAAACAGTGCATGGATTTTGGATTCATATTTTAACTACCAAGTCTGCAAACGTTGGCTATAAATTATAGCATCATAGACTTTCCTGTTTTGGCTTCTCACATAATGTAAAGTTATCTTTAAAGGCAAGGATCTCAGAATTTTCTTGGTGATTCCAGGATGTGTCAAATATTGAGTATACATTTTCCTGAGACCGAAGTAAGGGCTCAGTAAGGAACTCTGAGCTTTTTTGTTTCTTCTTGATAGAAAGAAAATAGTCTGAAATGGCAATAACTGGGTCCACGTTTGTGGTAGGACTGACACTGCTTCTCCTGTCTTGAAAACAAGTTGATATTAGTTTCCTCAATTCTTCTGTAGTTTCTGCTTGTTTGATACAGTGAGGACAGGATCAAAAGGACTCCAAAAGAAACATGAGTGTGAGGCACTGTGAAGAAAATGGAGCCTCTCACAGCTATATAGCCAGAAGTTACTTATTCATCAGGCTTACTGTCCCTAGTGAAAAATAGCATGACTGTTGCCAGAAGTCCCTTTCCTACACTATATTCCCCTGCTCTTCTGCTGCAAAAGAGCAGGCAGACCTCACAGCGGAGTTTTACTGTAAGGGAATGAGAAATCCAGTTTAAATATCAGAATAAAGGTAGTAAAATATCCTCTGAAGAAACTACCTTTTTCCTTAACAACCAGCATGGCTTAGCTGTGGGCACACATAATCACATCCCCAAAGATAAAGGCAGAGAGGAAAGCCAGGATTTGTGATTTAAGTTGTGCACGGTAGATGTATTTCATGCAATGACCTTGTGTCAGATTAAGCTAATGGAGGCATTCGGCTCTTTCAACCAATGTTCAACATGTTGAAGTAATGTATTTCATTGCTATCTGTGAGCCCTTACTTTGATATGCATTGCAGAAGAATTTAATATGCTTTTTTGGCATATCGTGGAAATATGGCATTGGCTCTTCACTGAGAGAGGGTTTCAACCTTTCACCTTTTACTGCACATTTTTCTCCTGAAGTTATTCTGGCAGTGTCCTAGCCTTGAGATACTGTTAGTGAAAAACAAATGACACAAGATGTTTGTCATCATCTCAGCCATTGAATTTCTCTCCAGCCTTCTACATTTGGAATAGGCATCCTGACTGTGTATGGGTGCAGGAGGAATCGGAGACCTGCCTAAAGCTCTTGTCCAAGAGACTTGTGATTTGGATTATGTACCTAACTGAGGAATGACGGGCACCATGGGGACACCCTAAAACCCACCCTACTTAGAAAGGTATCTTAGGCTGGACTGTATGTCCCAATGCAATAGTTTTCATTTCCAGTTTAAAACAGCTCCAAAGGAATTGCTTGACCCTACATAATAACACTCGCAGAGTCTTGGGGACAGCATGGGATGCCTTGGTTCTTGCAGCCAAGATGGATTTTCTTTTTCGTCAGACACCTCTAATAGGAGAAAATCTGTGCTTCTGGTTTGCTGTCTTGCTATTGTTGCTCACACAGGTTCTCTTAGGGAACTATTTTGTCACTTTTAATTTAAAAAAAAACCCTCTTAGACTCTATCCTTTTGGTCCCTTGCCACAGTTTGAACTCTATAAATCATGATCATTCTTACTGATAAATGGGGTTAGTTTATCCAAATTATCTAACTTCTTGTTCTCTTTTTTAGAGAATTGTTTCCCTTCAGCTTTCTTGTCTCTGAATGGATTGTGCATAGGCCCTCTTTCCACTGTCCTACTGATACTTTTGAATCTATTTTTCATTTTCCAAGAATCATAAGAATTAAACATTCAAAATGTGTATTTCCCTTGGGTAGCTGTGCTGATTCAGGAGGTAGGTAGGTATGTCCTTTACATATGCTGACATCCAGGTGGCTAATGAAGCTTCCACTGGTTTGCCTGGAATTTTGCTTCATGGTCCTAATGTAAGTAACAACTAGAATATTTTTCTTCTGTATTGATACTGTACTTCTCTACTGATACTGTACTTTCTTTCATTGAATTCTGCCTCCTTGGATTACAGCAAAAAATCTGCTTTTAGCCTGCTTGGTCAGTGTAGTTGAAGGTGGCTTTCAGTTCTCTGCAGTTGAATTCTTGTAGTCCTCAGTACTTACCACCTCTGAGCCTCTTCATCCATGAGCTGCCAGCTATCTCTAAGCGGTCTTTAATCTGATTTTGTTGATTAGAGACAGTGGATATGCAGCCCGAGACTTTGGAGAGTGGCTGCTTTGGTTCTTGGAAACAAGAATCATAAGAACAGAATAGTGTGCAAAGGTTTTAATGATAAAGAGGGAAGGGAAAAACAGCAAGTGCAGAAATTTCTTCTAAAAAAGCCTATCTGCTTTTTTTTTGGTCTTTTTCTGGAGGTACCTATGTATGTAAGGGTTTTTTCATATGGTAAGATTTTTTTACATACTGGATTTGAATGGGAGGTTAAGGTTGGCTTCTTAAATGCTGAAAAGGTGGATTAGATAAAATCCAGGGAACCATACACAGATAGAAATGTGAAGTTTTCCATGTAAGCACCATGTAAATCAGAAGGGTTTTTTATCTGTTTAAAGATGTGGAGGAAAGACCAATTGGGACAACTCTGCAACTTACTAACCTAGCAGCATGGCAGTCACCCGAGAAGGGTCCATATAATGCAGTCTGTTTATATATGTTATAGTAACAAATGTTGCTTAGAAAGTGCAAACCATCCCAAGAACAAAGGCTGGACCCCATGTATTCTTTCCCAACTAGTAGGCAACAGTCAGGTAACCCTTTTCTACCTAACTAAACCCAATGGAATCTTGATTTTTTTTTTTTTTTTTTTTTTTCTTGGACAACTGAAGAGCCTCAGGAGGGGAGATGGCAGCTGGTCTCCTTCTCTCTCTCCCGTTAGCCTCTGGCCAACTTTTTAATGTTGTTAGATGGAAATGTGGAAACTTGTGTTTCTCACTTCCTAGGCAAATGGTCTTGGCAAGTGAGTTGTTACAGCAACAGCCTTCCTGGATCTTGGCCCAGCTGTGTTCTCTAGCACTGCGGTGGTCTGTGCTGACTTCTGCGGGGAGCCTAACCCTGGTCCCCGTACCTTAGGTGTGCTCTGGCAGTACCCGAGGGGATGGAGGGATCCCCAGGATGGGGCTTACCTAACATCAGAGTCACTTTGATCTGCCTTTACAGCTCCTTAAAAGAGGTGCCTCAAGGGTCTTTTAGAAGTGTATTTTGTGTGCGTTTCTTGTCTGTTGACTGTATTGGGATCCTGGGTGATGAGCTCTGATGTAGATACCTGCTTCTAATCAGAGAACTCCCAGTCCTTGAACAGGCAGAACTCTGCTCATCTTGTGAAAATTGTAGCACATGATTGGAAATGTGAGCAGTTAGAATGAAAGCTTTACAGGTGTGGCAGATTCTGAAGTCAAATGGGGCTGGGTGCATAGTTTTCCAGGGTGAAAGGCAGCTGAGTTATGGTTTCCAGCAGTTTAATTTGGGGGTTAGGTGCCTAAGTCCCACACTGGGTATGGAGAATGTTTGGGGGAATCTGATCCTTTTTTAGCAATGGATCGTAAGTAAAAGCTCTGCTTAGATGATGTGAATGGCAAATGAAAAAAGAAGCCTAGAAGTTAGAGCACTAGCAGGGCCATGAAGAAACAGGGGCAAGCCCTCATAAGTACCCTACTTCTGAGCTCCAGTATCTCCATCCCTTTTTGGCAGTAAGTTCCCGAGTCAGAAATTACTTGAACCTGGGCATCCAAAGCATCTAGCATTGATATCCTAAGTGTGGCTTTTTCTCTGTGTGATTTTTTTTTTTTTTTTCCCCCCCCAAAGTCTGTTCTTTACCTCTGGTTAGAATCTCAAGAAAACATGGAAAAGTGATTTTTTTTTTTTGTTCTCCAGCCAGTGTTCACCCTCTTGTGACCTATTACAGAAGTCACTATATCATTTTCTGGGGGTCTGGGCTCACAGGCAATTTTCAAGTGTTTCCATAGTGTCGTCTTCGTAAAGATACAGGTTTTGTAGAACAGCTTATAGGTGGTTTTGGTCATGTATTTCAGCTAATATGAAATTAGGATCTGTTCACATGGAAGTGTTCAGACTAGCAACTGCACAGTCTTTCAGTTGTACAGGCAAGCTATCAAGCAGAGGCCTTCATTTGGCTGCCTCACCAGAGCTTATAGTAAATAAACTCACTAACAAAGGCTTGAACAGCTCAGCCACCGGACCAATAACCGCAGCTGGATGGGGAACAAGGGCCTCTGTTTTCAGCGCAGGATCCTAGGAGTCAGGAGGAGATAAACGTTTCCTCAAGGAGGAACTGGAGCAGAGAAGAAGGAGAAAGAGACATAGAGTCTGTGCTAATAGTGAGGAATATGAGACTTTGGAGACTGTTGGGCCTGCAGTCTAACGCAGGTCATCCCAAAAGTGTTTTAAAGAGCAGTACCTCAGGCAAAAAGCTGGGGAATGGAGCATACAAGTGGCAGCCATGGCTTGCTGCTTGTCTTGAAGCTCTAGAGCGCAGGTTATGGGCGCTGAGCTCAATTAGGGGGAGGAAAATAATCTCTTCCCCATGCCCTTCTTTTCCTTCATTCACTACTGTGGCTTTAGAAACTTTACCCTCATGTGATAATGCTCCTAAAGCACCACCATTTCCTCTTGGAGCCAAACTGAGGAGTTTCTGACTGCAATTTGTGGCTGCCCTGGACAGTGGAGGGGACTGTTGCTGTGACCTGGAGCTGTGCCCAAGGCCTTGGAGGGGAGCCGGTGTCTTCCAGCTTGGATTCAGCCACAAGGACTGGAGGAGCAGAAAGTTGCTGGCACATGCACATGTGCCTGTGTACACACGTGTGCATCTGCATATGTGTGTATGTATGTACATATCTGTATACACATAGATACATCTGTATATGTATCTATGCATATATGCATATATTGCGTGTGTTTATATATATTACATATATGTATTATACGTGTGTGCAGAAACCTCATGTTTTAAGCAGGCTGGAGTGTGGATAGGGAGGGAGAGCTAGAGGGGAGAGTTAAGCAGAGTTGTAGGCAGCAGCTCTAGTCACCGGCTCAGCAAAACCCCAGTCCAGTTTGGGAGCCAACAGGAACAAACCTGCAATGGTCCAAGGGGACAGAAGCTGTGCACTGCGCTGTAAACAGGCCATAGAATCACGTAAGCCCGCAGCCAAGGATGCAGGAGGGGACGTGGCACCCCACTGGCTGTGCGGAGAGGTAAGCATTGCCCCACTGTACTGCAGGGACAGAGTTTGCCTCCGGAGTAAGAGGGAAATTACAACAAGAACAAGGGTGAAAGGCAGAGCTGAAAAGCTGCCGACTTTGCGATGAATGATGTGTATGTCAGTGGAAGATTATTCAAGAAAAAAGTAAAATTTAGTTCTTTTATTCTGAAAAAAATTGTTAAATCCATGTGCTCTTTTATTAAACCCATTTATTAACTTCCTGTAGGTATGAATTAGGAGCAGCTTTGTTCATTGGATGGGCTGGAGCTTCACTCTGCATAATTGGTGGCAGTATATTCTGCTTCTCAATAGCTGAAAACAGTAATTCTCCAAGGTAAAACACAAACTGTACTTACTGAAAGGTATCAATACTAGCACATTTGTATCCACTATACGTATGTGGTTTGATTACTTTTCCAAAACACTCTTTTGGAGGTTCAGAAAAAAGATTGTGTGGATTAAAGAAGATAATGGGGTTTAAGGATAATGCTCTGTCCATCATTAATGCAATTAAGAAAAGCTATTGCCTCAGAGAAATACTTGTGTTATATATACTTTGTAAGTTTACCACAGCTGGGAAAAATGCATTCACTGATGTAGGAAAAGTGGTCAGGTTATTTTACAGGTGTGAATAGACAAGTTTGTTTAAGCCCAAATCATCAGATCAGAAGTGAGAGCAATGAAGGACGGGCGGTGGTGGCAGTAGGACCTCCAGCAGCAGAGGAGGGGTGGTAACAGAGGCACAGCTGGAGGGAGTAACTATTCACCTAGGATCTGCCACAGCCTATTTCATGAGTGGGCCCTAGCTGTGAATGAGGGGTATGCTTTTATAGAAAAGCAAATTGCAAAGAAGAGATCCTGGAAGGGGAATGTCAAACCAGAATGAGAGCACACAGGGAGGGGAGGTGTCCCCCCCTACCCCCTCCCCTGAAATTTATAGGTACATTCCTATACATTTCTTCTAGTCTTATGAGTAAAATGTTTGGATGCAGAGATGTTACCTGTCTGTGGGATGAGCTGTAGATGGTTGATTCTCTTTTCTTTTCAGGAGGGGGTATGCATATAATGGAGCCACATCTGTGATGTCTTCTCGTACAAAGGTCCACAACAGTGTCCCAGACAAAACCCCACCAAAGCACTTTGACAAGAATGCTTATGTTTAATTGTACTGTTGGAAGATTTAAAGCGTTTTAAAAATGAGTTTGTATGTTTCATTCAGAGTGATTTCCCCCCCCCCCCCAAACTTTTTAAAACATTAACTTGCAGCTTTTTACATACCGCTGTAAATTTTATTATGTAATATTTTAAGGATGAAGTTGGTATTGTAAAGTTTATACCTGAAAATCATGAGCTGATGTTGCTTTCTTGCAAAAAAATAAATGAGGTATTTACCAATTTGGTATGTCAGTTGCTTATGGGAATGGCTTTGCACACATCATAGTGCCTGCAGTGCATCGTTGCACTGCAGTGTCTGAAATGGGCTCAGTGCTGGACAAAACAGCCGTACTCTAGGCAGGTTAATATGTAAAATAGCTCACCACTGATTAGCGGTGATGTTGGAATTGCAGAGCATGTGGCAGCTGCAGCACCCGATGACGACAGTCAGTGGGAAGTGGCAGGCTCTTACCTCCTTATCACACTGCCAGGGTTGAAAAGCGTGCAACTTGGCTGGTTTGGGGCCATAGGAATAAGAAGAGGAAGAGACTGGGTGAAGTGTAAAGAAGTATGGGATAGGGGGAGGCAGGAGCAGGTACTAAGAAGAAGAATCAGGGGCAGTTGTTAGAAAAACAAATCTGCCAGAGAGAGTCTTGCATGGCCTAGGAAGGATACACGCACGGGAAGAATGTGAGATTTCGTGTGTGTGGCAGGGAGAGCAGAGGCTGCAGGCCCTGGGGACTTTTGTTGTGGGCAAGACAAGGCTCAGAGACAGTTCCGGCATCCTGCACTGGCTTTGTGCCACTGGTCTCCCACCCTGCCTCAGCACTCACCCTTGCTCCTCACAAGACCCTTCCAGGGCCTTGGTTTCGCTCGCCTCCACTGGGCAGGGCGCTGGGGTACCTTGGGCTCTGAGCCACGGGGTTACGAAAGGGGAGGTAAAACCCCAGGCAATATGGCAATACCAGCCGGCCTGCTCTGCCAGCGACCTTTCTGAAGGGCTGAGCAAATAAAAGCAGGCAGTACTTAACAGCACTATTGTAGATAATCCTGAATTAGTTACAACACTTCCACAATTCAGCTAGTACCTTTTTTTTTTTTAACCTGTTCACAGAAATGTGATGGCTTTTTAGGGAATATTTGTATGTCAAGTCAGTAAATGAGATCAGAGCTTATAAATAACCACAAAATGCCTTCTAGACTGAGACCCTAAAACAATACACAAACTGAGGTCTGTCTTGAGGTTTGAACTGATGGACCCTTGGAGTTTCAACACATTAGTTATTTTGGGACAAAAGTGTAAATATAAAAATGAATAGTTCTATTTAATACTATACAGTATGATAGGAAAGGTTCTAAAATACATCAGAAGCCATTCAAAGTTATTTTTATTTAAGTCAAAACACTATTGTGTTTTTTTAAGAAGGTGACCAATATGGACAAAACCATTATGAAAGTATTTCTGCAATAGCACATAAGTGCTTTGCTCACCTTAGCTTGATGCTTTAATTTTTTTCCCAGTTTTTATCCTTTTATGTTAACTAAGACTCAACTCTAAAAAAAAAAAAAATTGCTTCACAAAACGAGGCATTTAATAATAACTAGTTTTATAGTTGAGGCCTTTTTTCTTTTCATTTGGTGTTTATTGTAAACCATAGTAGAAATGTAACATTTTAATACATGGAAATATTTTCTTTAAAATGTTCACAATTTTATATAAAGTTTATGATAAAATTCAAGAAAATGTGCAGTTAAAAATTTCATAAAGTAATTACCATAAATTCTGTTCTTTCTTGAAAGACCAGTTTCAATTTTTAATGTAAACATTAGAGGCAAAATCTTCACCTCAGTGAAATCAAAGAGACTTTCACCAATGAATTAATGAGAAAGAAGAATTAACTCTCAATTTCCAAACAGACATGGCCAGTAGTGCATATATGAATATTCTTGTTTCAGATTAAAGGACTGAAAGACAAGAGCTCTGTAAACAGTATTCCTTGTTGTTACATGTCCAATATGAGGTATGAATAGGAAACACCTGATGTTTCCAACTACATTTTCAACCCCAACAGAACCCAAAAGCAGTGTCTCCTGTCAGGAACACAACAATTATATGTCTGAAGAATCACTCCAATCTGTTACAGTGACTAAGCTGCTTTTTAACGTGCTTGTGTTATCAGCTTCATGAAGGCCTGTTAAAGTAACAAAAAAATATTAACAATTATTAGTACTATTTTGGGGGTATTTTTACTTTGTATATGTCTATGAGATAAAATCACATGCTATGTAAGCAAACACCTTGGACTTCAGAAAGTTCAGAATTTCATCTGCTGAAGAAATTAGAAGTGTTGATAATATGAAGGCTGTTTCTGTCACAGAACACAATGCACAGTACAAGCAGTCAGTGTCTACATTAGTTTCTACATAACTTTCCCTTTAAAAACAACCCCGAGTATTTTTATATAACTGACATAGCTTTAACCTTTAAGTATATTGAAATGCTACGGCTAGAAACTACTACTTAAGTTCTATGTAAGATTGGGGCTATTACTTTACTAGTAGTTCAAACACTTAACATCAGCCTGGTAGGTCACTTAGAAATATTAAACAAACTTGAAATAATATTATTATTATTCTCAAGAAAAAGGAAGAAAGTTTCCCTCCTCTCTTAAATTTGGAAAGGGATTAAACAAAAATCCTAGATGATTAATTTTTAAGATGAAGTTGAAGGCTGACTGTACGATCTGTTTTAAAATCTGCAATTTAAGTTTCTTGGCATCTCTGTATATTTATGTCTGTGTTGTTTACGTGCAAGTATATATCATAAATATCACATATGATATCTATATGACATAAACCCAAGCACTTTTTCTTACTTGTTCTTTTCTTACGAAATACCATATATTGAAGTACAATGTGTAATATACTTAAGTTATCCTCTAGGTGTGTCAGTTGCCTAGGGCTGATGATGTGGGAGAACGAATACGTTACCTTCCTCCTTAGGTACACTTGCCTTCGGAAGACCCCATGCGTGGACCACAGATGCAGCATTTGTCTCATTTTTCTGAACTGTCAGTGCCTTCTGACCTCTATCATCTTTCATCAATAAAAAGTCATCTTCTACTGATGATATATCCCAATCATCTTCATCAACTTCTGTGAACTAACAAGGAGAAGAAAAAACATGTATTTTCTCTCTGTCCCTTCAAGTTGTGCTGAGATCTTCCATAAACTCAACAATGTGAAACCACTAAAGAAAAATCCACTGGCAGAAGGCCTTTATGACATCTATCACCACGGTTTTAAAATCCACATAATTCAATTACCTAAATGATATTAATTCACTATTATAATTCCAAAGCTAAAAGTAGGTGTTTCTGAAGCAAGTCAGGAACTGCAAAAGTTTAAAGTTCTGTCAGTTCTATAACTGACAGAAACCTACATTTTCAGGTATTACATGTCTAACTTAAATAAGGATCATCTTTTCTGGGATAGTAGCTATTCCAATGAGATGAAAGTCCTTTAAGAATATAAAGACACGATGTGTTATCATGCAAGTTGGCAGTTTAGTTTCTCATATAAGCGTTATCTATATTCAGAAAAATTTAATATTGCAATAAAGGCCTTTTCAACTTAAAACTAATTTATTTGAAGAGAAAATTAAATAATGAAATTTTTAAAAACACATGGTGTTTGATGTTAAAATATGTATTCTTCTTAAGAATCACTGTCAGCATGTACAAGCATACTTTTAATTAAGTGGTGGATTTGCATAGTAAATTCACAAAGTGAGAGTCAGGTCAAACAGATGAACTTGAAGGCAGTGAGTTCATGGTCTTTCTTACCTCATCTGCCTGAGAACTAAATATCTTTATTCAGCTTTGGAAAGGAGAGCTACAGCATTTCCTTATTTGTCAATCGGATGCAGTCCAATGGAATCAAGCCATTATTAAAACAGCTTAACTGTGGAAAGTGAAAGACAGTTTCTCACAAAGCTAAAACCTTCTTTCACTGGAGTTCTCAATATTACACTAAGATATCGAAGGTGCTTCTACTGCACAGAAGAAAGACTCATGCTATTAGAGAATAATGTAAGGTATGTACATACTAGAGAAAAATCAACAAATATGAACGTGTCGTGTGTCTCGAAAGAAGGAAGAGAGACTGCAGTAATGCTCTATCTTGCAACATAATTCAATTTTAACATTGCAAACAGTTTTTCAGAAACTGACAGATCTGCTCAGTGTGCTGTATTATTAACATACCAGGATTCAACATTTTGCTGTTTTAAATTATCTGCATTGGGAGGGTGTGGTAATGGGAAAGTCAGTCACATATATTGAGAATGCTGGAGGAAGAGCTTCCTCAAACATTCACTAAGTCCCAACTGATACTTAAAAGTACAAAATACAGAGAAAAATGCCAACTGTGAACTGAATTCAGTTTTGATCAAGTGTAAATACAAAGCACCAATCAAAACTGCTAAGCAGTTTTATTAACTCAAAGACTTACTCCAAAGAAATACCATAATCTATATCTGATACTGATGAACTCAGATAATACAGCTTCAGGTAAGCACAAAATTAATTTTCTCTAAAATGTTTCTGAAGTAATGTCTGTGAAACATGACCTTTATAAAACATACGACAATGGGATGCCTTACAAAGGATTCATGGTGTTACGAGTTTTGAGAATGACCATTAACAACTATAAATATTTAAGATATTAGTATTTAAGCTAATAAAAAATTATGTCTTTGGGCACCTTTGAAAATCCCACCTAAAAATTAAAGAATTAACTTGCACTATACATCTACATTTAAACACACAAATATGGACATGAATATATGTGCATTCATATATAATTAGCAAAGAATGCAAGATGGTGTGTTGTTCTGTAAAGATTACAGAAACGAAGTAGCAATGCCTGCCCTGGTTCATAAACTCATTTGAACTCATGTCCATACAGGAACACCCACTGTGTTGATACAGGGACACAATATATTCTAAATGAATTACAGGAAAAACACGTTTCATAGAATCATGGAATGGTTTAGATTGGAAGGGACCTTTAGATATCATCTAGTTCC